AGAAAGAAGGATCGCGTTGGTGGCATCGAGGGCCTGCCAAGGGGCCGCGGGAGAAGACTGTGCTAGCTTGGGAGGAAAAGAGAAGACCCGGTGGCTATTGCCTCTAAGGAAAACGGGGATAGAGAGAGGGAGAGAGAGAGAGAGAGAGAGAGAGAGAGATTGCCCTGTGTGTGTGTGTGTGTGTGTGTATGTGTGTGATTGCACACATGCAGTAAGGGAGAGAAGCTAGCAGGGCATATTTCTGTTGATGCTGTAGGCAGATGTCTATCTCGAATGGAGAGATACTGGAAAATCTATGAACGGATGTGGCTAGAACAATATGCAAATAGATGTGAGTGTGTGTGTGTGTGTGTGTGTGTGTGTGTGTGTGTGTGTGTGTGTGTGTGTGTGTTGCTTGCCCTGGCTCTCTGGGCGTTCAACAGGAGGAAATTGCATTTATGCTGGTGAGAAACACCTTACAGAGATTCATCCCACCCCACCCCCTGCAAACACAAGGTGAGAGAAGCACAGGGAAGTCACCTGTACCCTGTCGTGCCACTGGAAAATCTGCAGATTGGCTGAAGCTCATTTTCGACCTGAAGATAATACACAGTGTACCTTAGAGAACAGGCAGCAAGCATCATTAGAGCTCACATTCAGGAGGAAAGTGCCTCAGTATTTGTCAATGTCTGTGACAGGTGGGGAAAAAAAGGGTAGCTAGTGAGGTCTTCCTAGTGGGCAATTCCCAACCTGGCTGACATTGGCACATTGGCAGTGACTTTTTCTTCTCTCTTTCTCTCTCTCTCTGTTTCTTTTCTTTTTTCTTTTTTTTTGGACTCTAGCTCCTTGTTTTAACTAAGGTGCAGATGTTGAGAGTTGAGATGGCTGTGGGGCCTCTGAAGCTAATGCTTTTGCCTCTGCTGTTTTCTGGGGTCATGGTGGTGGGTGGGGGAGAAGGGGTGAGGGCATTTTACATAAGTTGGTGAAAACCTAGTTTAGGGTGGTTTTTCAACTACTGATGAAGTTCCTGTAATTTATCAAGTCATTTCTTACAAGGCTTCTTGACTTTTTCTTTTTGTTTAAATCACTAAGCCTTGCTGTTTGGTCAGACCTCTACCAAGAAAGCAAACATGGACTGAGTGCAGTCTGTTTGATCTGACCTTCTTTTAAGGAAAGTCTTCTGACAGAAAAAGTAAAATTTCCAAATGTAGGCATATCTACCAAAATTCTAACTTTATCAGTTTTTTACAATAGCACTTATTAATTTTTTTAATTAGAAATGTTATGTCTAACTATTACAGAACATTTCAAAATTACAGAAAAACTACGAAATGCAGCAATAACCCCACCACTCACAGACAACTATNCCCGGGCACTCATGGAACGCCCGCGCCGGGCGCGCCTGGGCTCGCTCGCGGGCTGGCCGCCTCCCACTGGTGCCCGCTGCAGCGTTCACGTTCCGTGACTCCGGGAGAGGGTGGTTCTGCTTCCGTTTGATCACCCTCCCGGGTGGCCGGAATGATAGGGGCCCCTCTGCAGCGCGCCACAGCAGCCCGGGGCCTCCTGGATGTGGGCACGAGGGAGGTGGCCCGGAATGTTTCTGTAAGCACATGAACCCCACACGTTTCTGACAATAAAGCGGGGCCGCGAAGGAAGGCAGGAGGCGCGGTCGTGGCGAGCCCGGGGACAGAGCCCAGGGAGAAAGAAGGATCGCGTTGGTGGCATCGAGGGCCTGCCAAGGGGCCGCGGGAGAAGACTGTTCTAGCTTGGGAGGAAAAGAGAAGACCCGGTGGCTATTGCCTCTAAGGAAAAGGGAGATAGAGAGAGGGAGGGAGGGAGGGAGGGAGAGGGAGAGAGAGAGAGAGAGAGAGAGAGAGAGAGAGAGAGA